AAACTAAGCTCTATCTTGTCTGCATCATACTATTGCATCCTTTATGGGCTGAAATACTGCCAACTCATCCAAAGGCGTCATCGTTCGGAGGCATCATCTTCATAGCCTGAGAACACCATGTCATGGCCTGAGGATCTCTCTCAATCTTTTGCATATCACTATTCAAAGGTGTCATGGTTTGGCAGCACCATCCTCATAGCCCGGGAACATCATTTCATGGCCTGCGAATCCTTTATCATACGCTTCATGGCCCAGGACTTCATCCTCATCGTCCAAAGATGACATTCATTGTCCGACGGAAATTTGTATCATGTTTAAATTTATGCACAATATATGCTTGTATTGTTTCTAATTACAGGTAAACCGACAAGCAACGTCTACCCTAGCAGGAGCGACCCCGCTCCAGTTCCCTTATCCATATCAAACCTAACCATTCCGGTAAACCTTTCACACACCCAGTCATAGATATTGCGTCCATTCTTGAAAGGTCTTCGTCGGTATACTCCGTTGTTGGATCCTGAACTACATACGACCCGATTCCTGTAAAACCAGGGATATATAGGCAACTCAGAAGCCAGAGTGCAGCCTAAACCTCTTCAAACCATTTTGCTCGGTCAAAATTGGCCATCATATCTTTACCCGACAACTCTTTCATCCTTCCCAGGTAAAGAGGGACAGTTATTGATACCCAATTTTTCCCTATATATTTTCAATATGAAAAATACCTTCAAAATAGCATGTATATGCACATATAATCATGTCCAAAGTTTTATTATTTTTTTCCATAATTTTAAGGTTTTAAATTGATTATTTTTGTCCCTTTTTATCCATAAAATCCCCAATATTTATTTCCAAAATTATTATTTCGATAATTCATCTATTGGATTTCTATATTTATGCCAAAATATGGTTAAGGTAATTTTTACATATTTTTATAATTACATTTAGTATGTTTAAAGCTAAATTGCACATAATTGCAATATTAACCCTTTTAAGATTTAATTATATTTTATATGTATAAAATTGGATCCTGTACTTTTTAAATTGCTAATTATGTATTATAAACTATTTTAGCATTTTTAAAATTATTTTTAGAAATTATCTACTATTTTCTATAAATTAAATAGGGAAAAACTGGCTATTTAACTTATAGCCAAAATTGGCTTTCAATTCTAGACTAAATCAAACGGTCCCCCAACCCAATTAAAAAAACCCACCAGACCCAAGCCCAAACCCAAACCATAGGCTCTCTAGGCAGAGCTTCTCACTCTAGGCGATTTTTGGGACACAAGAGAGACCACCGACGATTTGCCTTCATCTATGGTTGGTCAGCCCTCCCAACCTTCCCCCATCGATTCCTAGCCTCAAATACAAACAAAAACACCCCTAGATTACTCAGCGCTACTTAAACCTAGTACCATTAATGCGCCCATGCACGTAAATAAGACTGCGCATGATACTGTTGACCCCATTCCAATGAGGCGACCTTCGTTTGTTAATGGGCAGCACTTAATCAAGTTCACAGAAGCATAAGTGGATCGCATGAATATAATTGAAGGATCGCAGTATGCTGTGGTGGGTAAATTTGCGTATGGATGGCCTGAGTTGCAGGAAATTCGTCGCATTGTTCCATCTCAATGTGGAATAAAGTGTGAATGCAACATTGGGCTTCTTAGAGACAGGCATGTTCTTATTCGTATGACATTATGGCAGGATTACGTGGAATTTGTGTCTAAAGGTGCATACTATGTTAAAGATAAATATGGCAGTGAATATCAGTTGCGTCCTCTAATTTATGATGCAAAATTTAAAGCTGGAGAAGAGACTCCAACGGCCATGGCATGGATTTCATTCCCAGGTTTGTTACCTACGTACTTTGTGAATGAAGTGTTGTTTTCACTAGCTTCAGCTGTTGGGAAACCAATTCATCTTGATTTGGCTACAATAAAGAAAATCAGGCCTAGCTGTGCAAGGGTTAAGGTGCTTGTTAATTTACTAGCTGATCATCCTAAGATGGTGAGGATGGATATTAACAATGAAATTACCGGAGAAACAAGGACTGAATGGGTTAATATAAAGTATGATATGATGCCTAAATACTGTAAAGAATGTAGGTTGCAAGGTCATGACATGTTTGAATGTTGGAGATTACATCCTGAATTGTTGCCTAATGATCAAGGTAAGAAAGCTGTAGAAACTAATAAGGAGCAGAACAAGGAACAACAAAATCAACCTTTGATGATATTGTCAAGTGGAAGGGTAGTTGGGAACGTGAATCCTACTGGTGAACATTGGAGGGAAGTCAGGGACAATCGTATTAGAAAGAATGTGCAGCAAGTTGATGTTCATCCAACTAATGGGAAAGAATTGGTGCCTATTGATAATTCTAATGTGCAGCAGGTTCCAGGTGCTTCCAGTATTAATAATGATACTGTAGGAAAGGAAATTGTTCAAACTAATGTTGATAGGCAACATAATAAAGGAGCCACAAGGGTAGAAAGATTAGATACTGGTGTAGATCAACAAATTCAAACTACCAATAATTTTGTTGCGTTGCAGGAAGTTGATGGTGAAGCAAATGAAGAAAATCAACTGGCTATTGTGGTAGAACAGGAGCAGAGGAGTCCTATACAAACTATTAAGGAGGCTGGTTTTTTAAATCCTAATGTAGCTGTTTTCACTCCTAGGTCTGGGGTGGCCTCATATAAGAAAGGAAAGGGTACTGAGCCTACTGCGATAAAAGATGCAGTCAATGTAATACCAAAGGAGTCAACAACACAATAGGTGAGCAGGACATTTGCAGTTAATGTGGCAACCAACCAGTCTTGTCAGGAAATCCCTTATCAGTCAATAGAGTTTGATCCTATAGAAGGAGTGTCTAAAGATGAGAGATTACAAATAAGTGGAAACAAATTGTGGCGTGAACAAACTGAAGAGGACTCAGAAGAAGGGGAGTTACCAATTGGTGCCATTGGAGAAGGAGAATCAGAAGATGAGGAGAATGATCAATAGGAACAAAGTGTTAACAAAGGAAAAAATCATCAATCACATGAAGAGAGTAGATTCAATGAAGAAGCGGAGCATCATGGTTAATGGGGTCAGATGGTTGCAGAAGTTGAAGGTGATCAACAAATTTTGAGTCCTGATCCTAATAAGACTTTACCTTCAGCAAAGCCCAATATACCTTCTGAAAAACCAGCAGGATGAACTGATATGTCAGGTGATATGTCAAGAATAGGGGAGAATGCAGCCAAACAAATTACAATAGCAGGAACAAAACAGCAGGAAAAGAAGAATGCAACATTGGTAAACACTATAACCCAACAGTATCTTTCAGAACCAAGGGATCAACTGGGAGCAGACGATGTAGCAGGTGATGCAAGCATAGGTAAGGATTATGATGAAGAATTTACACCATAGAATTTCAAGAATGTGGCAAGAGAAGGGGACCTGTTGCCTAGACACCTGGATACAATTAAATCAGCTGGTAGGGGGAAAAGGAAAAATCCAAAAGACTCACAAAGTATAGTACTTGGGGTCCAAACAAGGAGGACTCTATCTAAATCTCACAATTAATGATGAATGCTATCATTTGGAATGTGAGGTCAGTGAAGACAATGCAAGCTTTTGAAAGACTAATCTTAATACAAAGACAACATCATTTCCAATTCATAGGAATCATGGAGCAAAAGTAAAAGAGGAAGAAGCTGGAAAGATATAGAAGAAGGATAGGTACGCTGCAAACTTTCTCTAATGTTTCCAACAAAATTTGGGTATTTGTGGATGATGATCATGTAGTGGAAATAGTATATGACCTGGAACAGCAGCTAACTTTGAAGTTTACAAAGCTGGACACACAACTATCTTTTATTGTCACTTTTATATATGCAAAATGTGACTCAATAGAACGTATTGAATTGTGGGATAGTCTGTACAATTTGGCAAAGGATATGTCTTATCCTTGGATAGTAGGGGGGGGACTTCAATGTTATTTGAGAAGAAGAGGAAAATTTTGGAGGTTTTCCTGTGTCACTAAATGAGATCAATGATTTTAAGCATTGTATCAACATCTGCAATCTCAGTGACCTAGGATTCAAAGGTAGTATTTATACTTGGTGGAATGGGAGAGGTGGAGAGGATTTTATTTTTAAGAGGCTTGATAGATGTTTGGGGAATTTGGAGCTTCAACAGTTGTATCCTACTATAGAAGTATCACATTTATCAAAAATAGGGTCTGACCATAGCCCTATGATGATAACATGTAATACAGATGAGGTCCCAATCAAAAAGGCTTTCAAATTTTTCAACTTCTAGACAAAATACAAAACTTTCATGGAAGTGGTTAAGGAAAATTGGAAATCAGATTTTGTAGGGGACCCTTTCTTTGTGTTCAATCAGAAGCTAAAGAGACTGAAGAAGGCTTTAACTATTTGGAGTAGGGCTACTTATGGGGATATTTTTCAGAAGATAGTAAGTTTAGAAGAAGTGGTCCTAGCACATGAAGCAGAATTTGAAAGGAACCCAACATTTCAGAATAGAGAGAGACTGCAGAAAATTCAAGCTGAATTGATTAGATACTTAGCTTTGGAAGAAGAATTTTGGAAGCAAAAGGCTGGTATGAACTGGTTCAAGGATGGTGATAGAAACACAAAATTTTTCCATGCACAAGTGAATGGTAGAAGGAAGAGGCTGCAACTGAAAAGGATACAGAACAATGCTGGCAACTGGTTGGAAAATAATGCAGACAAGGCTGATGAGGCAATCAGATTTTACCAAGCTCAATTCCATGAGGAGTCAGTCCCTACAGCATTTGGAATATTGGATTATGTCCCTTCCATAGTGGATAATTTTCAGAAAGCACAACTGGTGCAACAACCTACTAGAGAGGAGGTTAAATTTGCAGTTTTTGGCCTAAATGGAGAAAGTGCAGGAGGGCCAGATGGGTTTTCAGGCTGTTTTTTCAAACATGTTGGGATGTAATTAGAGATGACATAGTAGATATGGTGAAGGCCTTTTTCAATGGACATGAACTGCCCAGGTACATTACACATACAAACTTGGTTCTGTTACCTAAAAAGAAGGAAGTTGTATCATTCTCTGATATGCGACCTATTAGCCTAAGTAATTTCATCAATAAGGTTTTTTCCAGAGTAATTCATGAGAGGCTAGTAGGTTTGCTACCTACCCTAATATCAGATGAGTAAGCAGGTTTTGCAATAGGGAGAATTATGGTTGAAAATATCTTACTAACTCAGGAGATAATCACAGACATTCGTTTGAGAACCAAGCCAGTACCAAATGTTGTCATAAAGCTTGATATGACAAAAGCTTATGATCAATTATCATGGATATTTCTAACAAAGGTACTGAGGAAGATGGGATTTGGTGAGAGGTTCATAGGCTTGGTATTTGGGATAATATCAAACAACTGGTATTCTGTGCTTTTGAATGGACAACCCCATGGTTTTTTAGATCAACCAGAGGTGTGAAACAAGGTGACCCATTGTCTCCTACACTATTCATTCTGGCAGCTGAAGCAATGTCTAGAGGATTGAATGCCCTACCCAAAACTCTATACTTTTGTGGTTTTGGGATGCCTAATTGGAGTCCAAAGATAAATCATCTTGCTTATGCAGATGATACAATTATATTTCCTCATATGATGCCACTTCATTGCAGCTTATAATAGAGGTGTTAGCAGCATATGAAGCAGCGTCTGGTCAGCTTATCAATAAGAGTAAATCAACTGTCTATTTGCATCATTCTGCTAGTGATGAAGTAGTGGACAAGGTTCAGAGAATTACTGGTATTCCTAGGCAAGATTTCCCATTTACATACTTAGGTTGTCCAATATTTTATACTTTAAGGAGAATGGATTACTACCAAGGGCTCATAACAAATGTGATGGATAAATTACAGAACTGGAAAGTGAAGCTACTATCTATTGGATGGAGAGCTGTTCTTATATCGCATGTTCTTCAGAGCATGCCCATTCATTTACTGTCTATAGTAAATCCCCCAGCAAATATGATTAACAGGTTACATAAAATCTTTGCACAACTTTTTTGGGGAAATTCAATTGGTGTTGCAAGTAGACATTGGGCATCCTGGAATACACTATGCTTACCATGTGAAGAGGGGGGTGTTGGTTCAGATCACTACATGATATGTCCACAGCTTTATTCTGCAAGCTGTGGTGGAATTGCAGAACAAAGCCAAGTTTATGGAGCTCCTTTATGAGCCAAAAATATTGCAAAAAGATCAATCCAATGGTGGTGCCTTGGAGATATGGATCACATGTTTGGAGAAAGATGTTGGAATGTAGGGAGATCATTGAACACCAGATCCTTTGGCAACCTAAAATGGGGTCTGCTTTGTTTTGGTCTGAGAATTGGACAGGTCTAGGTGCTTTGTACTTTGTCACACCACCAGATTTTGTGTGCGATGAAACAATTAATAACATATATGATGTGCTCTATGATGGACAGTGGGATGAAGATAAGATCAGAGAAATTTTGCCAGAAGACCTTGCTTCACACATTCTTGACAACATACAGCCACCTGTGTCAAATGGGAATCTGGACAAACCTATTTGGATGCTAGAAAATAGGGGTGAATTCTCTGTTAAGTCATGTTGGGAATATTTAAGAAGAAGGAAAGAACCATGCAATGCATACAGGAATATTAGGGTCAAAGGTTTGCCTTTCAAGATTGGTTTTTTATGTGGAAGCTGTGGAAAAATAAATTGCCTCTTGATGATTTTTTCAGAAGACTAGGATACCTGATGGCATCCAAATATTGGTGCTGTAGTGACCCAAGGAAATAGAGTACGCAACACCTTTTCTTTACATCATATGATGCTAATAGAGTATGGAACTTTTTTCTGGGACATGCAGGTATTGCTATGGAAGGAATCACTTTGCATCAAACAGTTGTTAGATGTTGGACTGCAGATGTTACTCATAGACTGAAGCCTATTATGTAAGCTCTACCATATGTGATCGTATGGGAATTATGAAAAAGAAGGAATAGTTATAAATATGGGGATGCAGTCACAATTAATAGAGTAATATACTAGGTATCTTCTACCATTCAATCTATAATCAAGCTAAGGAAGCCAGGAATTCAAAATGTTCCCCCTCGATGGCCAGATATGCTTAAGATGATGGAGGATTACACTCCTATCTTGAAGTATACTAAAGTTTTGTGGGAACTACCTAGCCAAGTTTGGATCAAAGTTAACACAGATGGAGCAGCTAGAGGCAATCCAGGTAGAAGTTCTATTTGATATGTGTTGAGGAATGAAGAAGGAGATGTGGTGTACGCCTGTGGCAAGGAGATCCCTAAAGGTTCGAATACAGTTGTAGAAGCAAAAGGTGTATATGAAGCTCTGAAGTTTTGTCTGGACAATGACTATGTCCTAATCGACCTACACACTGACTCAATGCTTCTAAAGAATGTAATAACTGGAGAGTGGAAGCCTCTTGGTCTATAGGGGTTATTGTGGAGGAGATTAGGGATCTCATGAGCAGAGGCAATGTAACAGTATCACACACCTTTAGAGAAGGCAATAGGTTAGCTGATCATATGGCAAATTATGCACTAGATGTTGGGCCTGTAGAGTGTCATTCTTTTGAGGATCTGGATACACAAGGAAGGAGGTTGGTGAATAACGATAAATTACAATGTCCATACATCAGAGCTTCAGTTGCAATAAATTAAGAAAAGGGGAAGAGGAGAAGACAAGGAATAAGGGGCTGACAGGAGGATATTTATATGATCATCATGTTCAAAATCTGTTGGTGGAGAGCGTGATGAGATCTTTTTTGACTAACATACTTTTCTGTTTTGCAGGTGAAAAGTCTACATATATGCTCTACTCTCTAATGGATATCCAATTGGTGGTATTAGTGCAATGCACTCATTCCAATGGGGGAAAATTAGAGGTAGGTAAAAGCATAGAATCAAGGTTGAGTACTCGTTTTGCACTATTCAGGCGTGAGCAGGTACTCTTGGGTAAGAAACACAAGAACTATTGGGGTGTTTTTGAGCAACTAAACATCTCAAGAACAACTGGTAAAGAGAACACAATGGAATGGCATTAGATAAAATCAATGAGGTGCATAGCTAGTACAGAGCAAGTTAGTGGAACAATGCAAGATTGCAAAACGATTTCAGCCCTACATACAGGGAGCCAGGCAAATGTGACTGCAGAAGAAGTGGATGATGCAGAACATCATATCCAAATCCTTAGGGAGAATGATGTGATGACCACTCTTATTACTAACTCTGTCTTCTTTTTTGTAGGAAAAGCTACTGTGTCCATAACCTATTATTGGTTACAAATTCTAAGGGTGGTATTAGCATTTAATGCTCATTCCCTGGAAGGAGTACTAATAGTAGGCATAAGTATGGAAGCTAAGAGGAGTATGCTCAGAACTTGGAAGTATGTTTCTTTACGGGTATTTTTGGGCGCAATAGAAGCATTTTGTAGTAAAAAACTAATTCTTCCCAGTAGATTTGCATCACAAGAATGGAGTATATCAGTGGTGGTAACACAACTCGACTGGAATTCATACGAGATCAATATCAAACTGGGCATGAGTAGTTTTCTGCCCAGTTCTTGGGTCACTCATCTGCACGAGTGGTACTCTTGGATCAGTGATGTATAATCTCAAGAAGAGAGTCAACTGATGGTTTCAACAGAAGAATGTTGGAATTCAAGCGATTATGCCATACAATAGTACAGTCTCTCACATGATCGACAAGGTTGGAACTTATCTATATTAAGGAAAGCGGGCAACTGGCTAGGAGGTTCACGTAAGACAACTGAATTACTGGAGCATATACATTTGATACATTGCTGGAAAAAGGTTCAAGGTGTTACTAAAGCAAAAATTCAGAAGCTTATCAAGTTGGAAGATATCACATCGCTAGTTTTTATATCTCAGTTACTTTTTCTTATTAGACTACATAATGTGATATCAATGTTGAATACACTCAACATTGATAATAGGATATATGTACTTGTCAAAGTTTATTTCTTTCACAGTGTAAGACCTTCAGACATGGTGCTTTATTTTTGATTTAGATATATATAAAATAGCCCTAGGCAATATGCCTAGTGGATTCTGCTAAAAAAAACCAAACCATACCAACCACCTACCCCATTCAATCTTGACTGTTGATCATTCAGATCAACGGTCCCCATTCCCTTTTCCTAAATTTAACCCAAACGACCCCCCCAAACCCTCTCACTATCTCATTCACTCAACCGACACTCATCTCCCTCTCTCTACCTTTGGTTCTCTCTAGAACCTTCTCCTCTCCCCTCCTTTCTGATGAACCTTATCCACCTTCTCCGACCATCTCCCTGCCTGAATCCATGGTGTCCTCGCTGCCTACCAGCCTTATGGTTCCCTCTTGAATGTATGTCATCATTTTGAGGACTTCAAGTGAACCAGAGGTGGTTCACTCGACTCCCATGGTTTCTCATGCCATTTTCTAGCTATCCATGGCCGTTCGAGTAAGATCTGTGATTCTTCCGGCTAAAATCGGTAACATTTTAAGGTTTTCTCACCTTCTCTAGGTTCTCTGAAACCCTAAACTCTAAAGATTTTACGATTTCTTTTAGATCTGTTTTATATCTGTGTATATTATGAGCTTTTAGTGTTTTCCTCAAAGGTTTTTCCCGATTTTTTCCAAAATGACTCTTCATCTTCAAGACTAGGGTTTCTTAACCTCTTTTTAAATGACTTCTCCTCTGATTTTCAGTATTATCATATGATTTTTACTATGGTAAACGGTTTATTTATGTTTTTTTTCTACCTGATTCATCACGTTGAAAACCCTAATNATTATCATATGATTTTTACTATGTTAAATAGTTTATTTATGTTTTTCTTCTACCTGATTTATCAAGTTGAAAACCCTAATTATTTTGGTTTTATCCGGGGTTTTGGAACTGTCTTTGCTTATTTGATTTGTATGTATACTCATTTCGATTGATTTCTATATGATTTGACCTTTCTCTTTATTTATCTTGACCGATTCTAAGTTCTTACAGCTTTTTAACTCAACTCTGTTAAAAACCCTAATTTCTTAAAGACTTTCTTCACTTGTTACTGTGAGTCTTAAAGGTTTTCTTTACTTGTTTCTGTGTATTGGTCTGACCTTCTTTACCTATTTTTGTGTGTTAGATTGGTTTCTTCACTCTGGTTCTATGTGTTAGCTATGACTACTTGACTTTGTTAAGTTTCTGTTGATCACCATGCTTCGAATGGGTTCCTTTTTCTACTGGGTCCTTAGCCTACTCGTGTCACTTTTGTATGATGATGTTCATCTGGTTTGTTCATCTCTTGTTTTCTTTTGTCAATATGGTTGACCTTGCATGTCTGATACGCCTGTTCATTCTTCTCTATTTATATGTCGAAGTGCAGAATCATGACTCCTTCTTGATTGATCCTGATTTCCTTAAATTACGGTTTGATTGCAAGGTTTTCTTATAAACCCCTAAAATTTTACTCGTTTGTTTAAGTTGAATTATTCCATTCCCTTATTTGCTGTGTTGCTTCATTCTTGATGAATCCTTTCCTCAAATTAGTATATCATGTACTTAGACTCAATCATATGCTCTATACTTTTACTACCCCTTATATGGTAAAAAATCAATCTTTCTCAACTAATTTTCTTTCCTTAGTTATCTCTGTTAGTATCCGTTTAAGCTGTAATTCCTTGATTAAAGGGAAGTACTTGTACTAATTGGATTCTAATTGTGATTATTTAAATAATTGTGCTAAACCTTTACTTGTTACCTTATTTTCTACCTATTTTTCAAAGCTATAAATACCATACGTCTTTCATTAACAAGACAAGACTTGGCTTCCAAAAACCCCTCTCTTCATTAAAGAAAAATTCTGTGTTATTCTACTATTATTGGCCGGTTGCAAGCCAAGGCTAATCATCTGTGTACCTTGGTTCTTTCATTTTGTTTACCTCTATCTTCACTGGTATGTGCTAGTTTAATTTTAAGCCTCAACAACAACATGTTTCTATTCTTGCTTCAGTTTCTTTTATTTCTGGCCTGCTTTTACTCGTGGTCTTGTTGTGAAGTTTGTATATCAGCATGCTGATATGATTCCCCTCCCTTTAAATTCATGTGATTCAAGCATGCCTGGACGATTGTATTCTTTCACCTACTGTGCACTTACCATTTTGTGAATCCCAAATCCCCTATCCCT